ACTTTACTGGCCAGAAACCAAGTAAAATTCGCCTGCTTATAGAAACTGGTTCGCCTGCTAGGCAGCTGTCTTCTGAGTTAATATCTGCAAATTCTTCTGACACTTTAGGCGCACAGTTTCACGTGAACTATGTCTACCTGATGTTCAAGTCGCCGCGACCGCACGCTATGGTGATCCACAAGAAGTACTCCGACAGCTCGCCCTGGACGCCGTGGGCATACTTCTCCAGCAACTGTCACACCTACTTTGGCATGCCTTATAACCGGATGCATGAATTCTCCCGACCAGACGAGGTTATCTGCCGAGAGGAATACTCCACTCTACAGCCCCTTTATGATGGTGAGATGGTCTTCTCCGTGATCAACGGCAGGCCCGGCTATGAGGACTTCTTCCAGAACGAAGCTCTCCAGGTGTGCAACCAAGCTTTATTTAAGAAGTTCTAAATACAGTCAGTGACTGAGCTCTTGAAGTTTTAACCAAATTTCTACGATGTGTTAGGAAGGGCTTCAGAAGTAGGACTGCAGTATTATCTAACGTGACGCTGAACTATATTGGATTTATCAGAGTCCCGGCTTTTGAATGCGCGTCTTTTCGGCCGCCGGGAAAAAGAGCAACTTAAGTAGTATGATATTTTTTATGGATTTTCGGTGCTGTTGCAAATTTACAGAAAGCCTATCAAATACGTAAGCAAATTACCTTTCCTCTTTCGTTTTTTAGAAGAAAATCACTTCTTTTTCATACGCAAAGGAAGGATTTTTAAAAGAGATTTTCCCTTCCGAACCGTTTTTAAGTCCCGTCTGCCGCTGTGTTTGCGTTTAGGGTTCCCTGGTCACTTCCTGATCCTGTATGCCCCCACAATGTGTATCTGTACGCCATTTAAAAAAAAAACTGGGAAGTCTTCAGAAAAATGTGTAAAGGATGATGACTATTGGCGGATAGCGCTTAGTAGCGATCAGTTGCGGTTTTGATACCGAGAAGACAACAAGTTCGTGGCTTGATGTATTAGAGCATCGGACTCATAATCAATCAATAGCAGGTATCGAACCCCTGATGTTGTAAAACCTGTAATGGCTGATTGATGATAGTCAATAAGTCAGAAGTAAGTACGTCAATCTCCTTGTTTTTGGTAGCAATGTTCCTTTTCCAATAAAATTGAATGTGGACTATGTTTTGTACTTAACGAGGACCGTTGTTAAACGGATACGGACGATGCTATAAGAATGCATGGTCGGAAATACGAGAAATGGCTATTCCAGTCTCTCTTGCCTTGCCGGCAACGTTCATTTGCCTCCACTACCAGCTGTTATGCGGCCGCTGGCGGGGCTAGACAGTGAACCCCAGCGCAGTACGGGACGAGTGAGTTCTGTTGGCGATCAGTGGGTGTTCATCAACGAATCGAAAGGGTAGCCGAAGTTGAATCGGAACTAGCATCAGGGTGGAATAGAAAGGCGAAATCTTAAAAGCACTATGAAATAGGAAATTTGCTTGAGAGTCTGTTTTACTTTTCTGTGCGATCTAAATCTAGAAATGAACGGTAGTTAAGAAGACAATATTTTAAAGACTTTCTTACATTATGTGAGCTCTATCTGCCGTATACATCTTAAAGGAAATTGCAATTTATCATTCTTAAAAGTAACTAACGACGCTTCTTGAAACAAGTGCCTTTTCGGAGCCCTTTTGCCGTAAATTAAAGACCTTTACCGTATATTTGGCATAAGCTGGATGATTGTCAGAGTAGAAGTTATATATAATTTTCAGGTTGAACACAAAATAAAGGAATCTAGAACTTACGTTAAGAAACACTTACCACTTTATTCTTTTCGATTTTTTGTGTAACAAGAGAATTGGCAATAGTCAACAAAAGAATATGCAAGAAGATTGATTATAAGACCATTTCTCACACGAGCGTAAAATAGACATTACCCGCGTATCAGAAATTGACCATTAGTTTAGAAAATTTGTTCAACAGACAGGGTGATCGCTAGTTGAGGAGTTGCTCGCCAAAAAATGGTGAGTAACTGGAAGTATAATACTGAACTTGTACCAGTATGGTTCCGTATCACCTCTGAAGGTAAGAGCACTTAATCGAAATTTGCTAAAAGACTCTCGTCAAGGCTTTGCCGTTTCTACCTCACTTGCAGAAATATTTCATTCGACTATTATTATAAAGTAAGAATCACGAAATCAGTGGACCGTCTGCATAACGGCACTATCGGTTGTCTTGCTTGAAAAAATACATAAAGATTCCGGTAGCCGTAGAAGAATAGGTTAAATCTGAAATCAAATAGGCGCACAAATTTCAATTGATCACAGGCAGCATTCTTTAAAGTCCTTGTGTTGCGGTGCATGTAGTGGATATCAGTGGCGTGGAATCAACTAAAATTTGCAATATTTTGTTCAAATGATTTGGTTAACTTCCCTCGTTCTATGCTCCTCTGAAGTAACGTGATGGCTATGCTCAATTTTCAGCGCTGGAGTACAGCGTCGGCAATCAGAATCGAACTAAAGAAGATGCACACCTTTGGAGATGAAAGAAATGCAGAGAGGGATACTCTCCTCACCTACTACTTTGCAATCAGAAAGTTAACTATCGGTGGAAGGTACGTTATTACTTTGTGCTTCTTTTTAAATTCAGAATTTCTGGCAAATGTAACTTATGTAGGCCCACTCATATAACCCTAGTCCCAGCATTTTGTCCTGTAAAAACGGTGGTTATAGAGGTTTGGGTGGTGGGGAAATAAAAAAGGCAGAGAAGGAAATTTTTAGAAGTAAGTGTAAAGTGAAAAAATGTAGTCGAATTTGCTTCCCTCGGCCGCTGGGATTAAGTTGTTCCGCATGTCGATTGAAGGTGTGCGCGACGCTTCACGCCGCGGACCATACTAATCTCACTCCAGAACA